TTTGAGTAATGATTTGAAAATTCATTTTTTCATGAAATTTTTATAGTAATTAATTTGAAAAGAAAACAAAAATATTTTTTCAATTATGAAGTTTGGCAAAAAAAAAAAACGTACCTAAATATCCTTATTGAATAATATTTTTGACACTTTCATAATTGGAAGTTTTTTTTTTTTTTGGGTAGAAAGAAGTGAAATTTTTTAAAATCCCGAAAAACACCATTCTTTTTTTTTCCCCTGGCTGAAGAAAAACACTATTCTCAAAAAATAAAAAAGGGAGAAATTTATCGTCTGTTAGTATATGGGCTAATTTGCAAGACTGGAGCTGATCTTTTTTTTTTTTCAAGGGCCTTTTCGCTAAAATGAGATAAGTTTGAGGACTTAACAATGATTTTGCTTCAATTGCCCAAAGCTGAGCATCCATACGTGAAAGAGTGCTAAGGAAAGAACTGAAACCGGAAAATTATTAGAGAAAGATCGGAAAAAGAAAAGCAGTGTCCAATGGGTAACACTCAGTCACCTCCGGTGGATCCTCGCTTCGCCTCGGCATCCAGGTTTCTCTCTGAACAATTCTTCTCTATTTCTACTTTCTCCACTTTCCGTAGTCTATGTAGTCAGTTCTAGCGGAATTAATTATTGCAGAGCTTTTACGCAAAAGGAGATAGGAGATCTCAGAGCACTGTTCGTGTCCGTGGCTGCCCAGTCACAGAGCGACGGTCGATACATATCTCCCTCTGTCTTTCAGGTTTGTTTTCAGTAACCCATTTGATTTTTTCTTCTTTTTTTTAATCCAATTGCATCCCTTGATGCTCTTTCGTTTCACTATGATTTGGGTCCAGGCATACTTTGGACTGAAAGGGGCTCTTGGGGAGAGACTCTTTGATTTGGTTACGCAGCAAAGGAAAGACCAGAAATTGACTTTTGAAGACCTCGTAATTGCCAAGGTAATGTTTCTTTTCGATTTGGTTTGTGTGGATTCGACTCTGGTGTATTAGTGATTCATAGAAATGCACATATATCATGTGCAGCTTGTAAATGTTAATGGTTGTTACCTGTTATGACTCTCGTGGTGACACCCAGTTGGTGCATTTGCTTCTTATTGCATATTGCAGGGGACTTATGAGAAAGGAACAAAAGATGAGATTGAGGAGTTTGTTTATCAATTATCTGATGTCGCAGGTGATGGTGCTTTGGGGAGGTATGAGAGTAATCACTTAATATACATAGGCTTTGGTGTTGTTGGGTCCTTTAAAATAACTGCCATCTTTGCTGTTAATTTTGTCCCTTGCTCAATCGCTCATAATTTTGAGCTGAACTACTTGTGTTGACTTTGCATGCAAGATTGCTCCTTTTCTGTTCAATTAATGAAAAGGAATTTTAAAAAGCCGTTGTTATGACTTAAAAGGTTCAGGTCCTGAGATGCAGTTGGGTGGTGGAATATTTGTTATGTTTATCAATTACCCTGCTAACAAATTCCTGTACAACGTTTAGAAGTTCTTGGTCTTTTGTTTTTAAGAAAACTTTTAGTTATTCTCACTTACTGTATTTATTTCTTGATATCAGGTCTGACATAGAATCTGTTTTAGTTACGATATTTGATGATATATTCAATGTGAAAAGTTTTGAACCTGGATCAAGTTCACAAGGGGACATGGTGGACATATTTCTTAATTCTGCTACCTTCTCAAGGGGTGATGAAAGATGCAATGATGAAAGTATGTCTTTTGAAGATTTCAGAAAGTGGTGTACACTTATCCCATCTCTGAGAAAGTTTCTAGGAAGTCTACTGATTCCACCTGATTCAGGTTCTTTATGCTTCTTCCTTTATTTATGGATTCCATTATGTTTTGCTATTTCAAATTTTGGCATTACTTTTCAAGAGATCATAGACTGAAGTATGGTAAATAGCTGTAGCATATTAGTTACTTTTAGTTTAGCATAAACAATTACACCGTAGATATGGTGGCTGCTTGAGGTTTCTTGTTCAGAGGAATTGCATTCAAAAGGATTGTTCTTGTAATGATGGAATAGATAATGCACTTAAACAAAATTTAGTAGCAGAGTAGCAGTAGTAATGACCTGAAAATTTTAAAATACTGGATCATTGAGCTTCTAATTTTGCCTTTGATGATAGCACTTCTTTATGTAAAGTTTTGTTTCATATTGTTGGAAATTTTGAGTTTTGGATTTTTGTTTTATCACATCCTAGTCTGACAAATCTCAGCAGGTGTAAATAGTTCTATTTTGCCTTTTTTTTGTTTTTATTTGATTTTCTGCATTCAAGCTTAATTTGGTCAATCCTGATTCATTAAGGAAACTTATTTTTCTCCATATATGTTATAACTCAATGAATTGTGTACTCAAAATTCACTTGATAGTTGTTATCTTGTAAGCTGGCAGATATAATAATATTTTTAATAAGCCCAATTTAATTTCTGGACCAAATACTGAACACAGTTGGGGCTTTTTGTAGGGCGACCTGGATCTCAAGTTCCTAAATTGCTGCATTTAGAGAGTATTGATTCTGGTATGTTGTTACTGAGAAAGGAGTATGCTTGGCATATTGGAGGAGCTCTTTCCCAGCAAGAGCTAGAGGAATGGAAACTTTTGTATCATAGTACTTTAAATGGCTTAAGTTTCAATACATTCTTGGGCAGCATAATGTAAGTAGCTTACCTCTTTCACGCAACTATTCTAGCTATGAGTATTTGTTAGCTTTTCTTTGCATGATTCTGTAATTCTTTGTAAGTCATGGCATTGCTTATTGGTGAATTTCTTCTCAATTTAAATTTGGACCTGAAAATATGTCAATGCATTCCATTCTAATTTGATCTTATTGTGATTGTCATGTGACTGTCCTGGCATTTCCCTGCATTTTCATTGCTACTTAACTCCATTGTTCAACGATATACTAAATGGTTGTTGTTATGCTTTCCACTGCTGCACTGCTGCCTTAGTTTTAGGTGCATGGGTTGCATTTGTTGTCTACACAATTAAATAAAGTCAGCTTTTGAATTGGTATTTCACCAATGATGCAGCTTTGATTTTATTTTTCAAATGAGTTTGCTCTTACCATTGTAATAAAAAGCTTCTCTTTTTTTTTTTTTTTTTTTGGGCAAGTAATAACTAGAAAATATCATTAATACATATGTCCCACAAGTATGTAAATTGGTGGCACAGGTTTTCCTTGAATAAAATGGTGATAGCATTCCAGTGTACATTTGCTTTTGTTTTTGATTTGATTCTTTTTATTGTTTTCTGAAGAAAGTGTAAATGCTGAGTTGTTGCTTTTTTTTATTTCAGTTTCTCTTTCTGGACTATTTTTAAGTAGGAGTGAAATGGATAATTGTTCAATTGAACTGCAGAAATGATAATGGG